GTGCTGAAAAAATTTTCACTGGGTGCGAGGGATGATTCCAAAGAGAAACTTAAGCGCACTCAGTATGAGAGGACCCTGTTTTGTACTCTTGGTGCTTCTGCGTGTAACATTGTTATGTTTCTACTCTATTGCTTATATTGGGATAGACATGATTGGTCTGATGAAAAGTTGGCGGCCCTTTTGGATTTACCGCTTAAATCAGTTTCTTGGGGGATTGTGTGTGCTTCTTTGTGCACCGTTTTCTTCAGTTCAGGTGAAAGGAGATTTCCACTATTCTTCAGAGTTTGGTGCGTTTTCTCCTCCCCATTTCCTGTTATTCCTTTGTGCTGGACATTATTCTCCATCTAAAACACGTTTTGTTTTCGATTCAATACTTGATTTCTGATGGAGTTTCTTCTTTTGTGAGTGTATTCTTTTGTCAATTGGTGTTTTTTCTGAAAAATGAGGGTGAAGATAGCATTCTTCAAGAGCCTCTTTTGACTGATGATACTGATGTTAGTAATGAGTCCGAGTCAAATATGACCAAGGGAGAGGAAACTGTCACTCCTTACTCAAATGCTGGAATTTTCAGCATTCTTAGCTTCTCTTGGGTGGGTCCTCTGATTGCTGCTGGCAGAAAGAAGACTTTAAACCTCGAGGATGTCCCACAACTAGCTAGTTGTGATAGTGTAATTGGCGTTTTTCCAGCTTTTAGGAATAAACTTGAGGACGAGTTGGGTGCATTAAAGAGAGTAACCACACTTAAGCTGGTAAAGTCATTAATACTCTCATCTTGGGAAGGTATATTAGCAACAGCTATTGTTGCACTTCTAAACACACTGACTTCTTACGTTGGTCCATATCTCATTGACACTTTTGTTCAATACCTCAATGGCAAACAAACATTCAAGAATGAGGGACATGTACTGGTGACTGCTTTTTTGGTGGCAAAGCTTATAGAGAGTTTGTCATTTAGGCAATGGTCCTTGAGGTTAATGAAAGTTGGAATAAAGATCCGAGCACTGCTTGTGACAGTAGTCTATAACAAGGGGTTGACCCTTTCAGGTCAGTCCAGGCAAGGCCACACCAACTGGTGAAATAATCAATTTCATGATAGTTGATGCTAAAAGAGTTGGAGACTTTGCCAGGAACATGCATGATTCATGGATAGTAGTTCTCCAAGTAGTGTTGGCGATGTTTATTTTGTACAGAAATCTCGGGATGGCTTCGATTGCAGCTTTTATTGCAACTGTTGTTGTAGTGTTCACAAATATTCCCTTTGCGTCATTGCAAGAAACATTCCAGCACAAGTTGATGGAGTCAAAAGATAGAAGAATGAAGGCAACATCTGTGATTTTGAGGAATATGAGAATTCTGAAACTACAAGGATGGGAAATGAAGTTTCTATCTAAGGTTATTGAATTGAGGAACACAGAGCAAAGTTGGTTAAAGAAATATATGTATACTTCAGCCATGACCACATTTGTCCTATGGTGTGCCCCCGCATTCGTATCTGTGGTTACTTTTTGCACTTGCATACTTATAGGGATCCCACTTCAAGCAGGAAAAATCTTATCTGCAATTGCAACATTCCGAATGCTTCAAGAGCCGGTTTATCGGCTTCCAGAGACAATTTCAATGATAGCACAGACTCAGGTATCTCTGGATAGGATTGCATTATTCCTTCATCTTGATGACCTGTAGTCTAATGTTATAGAAAAGATTCCAAAAGGTAGTTCTAACATAGCAGTTGAAGTACTCAGTGGTAATTTTTCTTGGGACTTCCCGTCCCTAATACGACATTAAAAGGTATAAATCTCACAATCCTTCAAGGCATGAGAGTTGCTGTTTGTGGTACTGTTGGTTCAGGCAAGTCTAGTCTAATATCTTGTATTTTGGGAGAAGTTCCAAAGATGTCAGGAAACTTAAGAGTGTGCGGAACTAATGCATTTGTTGCTCAGTCTCCATGGATTCATAGTGGGAAGATCAAAGAGAATATATTATTTGGTAAGGAGATGGATAGGGAAAGATATGAGAAGGTTCTTGAAGCATGCTCCCTGAAGAAGGACCTTGAAATTTTGCCATTTGGTGATCAGACTATTATTGGAGAGAGGGGAATCAATTTGAGTGGTGGACAGAAACAGAGAATACAAATTGCACGAGCTCTTTATCAAGAGGCTGATATATATCTTTTTGGTGATCCTTTTAGTGCTGTGGATGCTCATACGGGATCCCACCTCTTTAAGGTAAACTATTCATTATGATAGTTTGTTTGTCATACAGGATTATATTTTGAGGTGTCTCGCATGATTTTTTTTTACCATGTGCAAAATAGATTTGGCTATTCTAACTTTTATGTTATATAGTTTTGAATCCTTATTTGTACCTTTTTCAAACTTGATTCTTTAAATTGGCATCGCACTTGTCACGATATTTTACTTTGTTAGATCCTTCATTATTTTTATATATGGCAGGAATGTTTACTTGGCCTTTTAAGTTCGAAGACAATTATTTATCACTCATCAAGTAGAGTTCTTACCTGTAGCTGAGCTTATCTTTGTGAGTGATTCTCAAAATTTAATCCTTGTCAATTTAAAGAGAAATTTTGTTTCCTGGCATCCGCTAATCTTTTTCTTATTATACCATGTGTTTAGGTCATGAAAGATGGGGAAATTACTCAACGTGGAAAGTATGATGATTTACTTAACTCAGTCTGCACTCGATTCATTTGATGGAGGAGAAGCATTTCATAAACAATGTGCAAGAAGTAGAGAAGTAAATATTTCTGGTGCAAAAATTACAGAAGAAAAAGAAGACGACAAAGATAGGAAAAGTGGCAAAACAAATGATGTAGTTGAACCAAAAGGCCAGCTCATTCAAGAGGAAAAAAGGCAGAAAGGAAGAGTTGGACTTTCAGTCTATTGGAAATATATCACAACAGCATATGGAGGAGCTCTTGTACCATTTATATTATTGGCTCAGATTCTGTTTCAGCTTCTTCAAATTGGAAGCAATAATTGGATGGCTTGGGCAACTCCCATTTCACCAGATGTAAAAGCACCTGTTGGAACCTTTATGCTTATGATTGTCTATGTTGCTTTGGCCATAGGAAGTTCTTTCTGCATCCTTTCCAGAACAATGCTCCTTTCCACTGCTGGTTTCAAGACTACAACTCTACTCTTCAACAAAATGCACAATTGCATTTTCCGCTCGCCTATGTCATTTTTTGATGCCACTCCAAGTGGAAGAATCACTAGTAGAGTACGTAGAAGTGTGGACATGCCGCTGTTTTTCTTCTTCCTATAAGCTCTTAATAGTATTAGGATGTCATATTCTATGAAGTTTAAATTTAAATGTTATATCACTTAAAGCAACAGCCTCCTTCATCTTGCTGGTTTTATTCAATAAGTCATGATTGAGTCACTTCAATCTTTCTATTTCCTCTTGTTCTCTTGTAGGCCTCTTCAGACCAAAGTGTATTAGATACAAACATTCCTTTTAGGTGTGGATCATTTGCATTCTCTTCAATCCAACTCTTGGGAATTATAGTAGTGATGTCTCAGGTTGCATGGCAGGTTTACATCATCTTCATACCTGTAATATCTGTGAGCATATGGTATCAGGTATCTTACTTAAATCATGTCGTCTTGCTCAATATAAATTTCCATATATTTCTGGCACAGTCCTCCTTTGTTATCCTGCATAGAGCATGCACTTATCTGCTAATTATAATTTGTTTGTTTCTACTTTATCATGACATAGATTGACTATTTATGTCTTACAAACTTATAATCATGCATCAACACTATTTACCAACGTCTCAAGAACTATCACGAATAATTGGACTTTGCAAAGCTCCAATTATTCAACACTTCTCCGAAACAATTTCAGGAGCAGCAACTATCAGAAGCTTTGACCAGGAGTCAAGATTCCAGGAAACGAATATGAAATTGGTGGATGAGTATTCTCGTCCAAATTTCAATATTGCTGGCGCTATGGAATGGCTCTGCTTCCGCTTAGATATGTTGTCTACTACCACATTCGCTGTTTTCTTAATATTCTTGATATTTATGTCAAAGGGAGTCATAGATCCGGGTAATTAATTCAATTTTGCCATATTAACCAATTGACAATTTCTATATGAATTGTTTACTTATTTTGTTTCATATGCATAATATGAAGGCATTGCTGGATTGGCTGTTACATATGGACTTAGCCTAAATGCATTACAAGCTTGGATGATGGTGAATCTTAGCAACATGGAAAGTAAAATTATATCAGTGGAGAGAGTACTGCAGTACACTTGCATTCCTTGTGAGCCTTCTCTTGTAATAGAAGAAAATCGACCTTATCCTTCATGGCCTTCACATGGAGAAGTTGATATTCTTGATCTACAGGTACTTTGTGTTAGCCATAAATTAGGGTCAAGTGCAAATCTCATTCATATGTTGTGATTTTATTTTCCTTCAAATTTCTTTAGGGGAAAAAAAATCTTTCTCAGTATATCTTTGTTAAGGGTTGGATTTTATCTCCAAATGGATAGATTATGCCCTATAAAAGGTTGTTTTTGTTCATGGATTCAACATTATGTTTGTACTAATGTTAAAGATGTTCATGCCTATGATGAAGGTTCGTTATGCCCCACATTTACCACTTGTGTTGCGTGGCATAACATGCAAATTCCATGGAGGAATGAAAACTAGCATAGTAGGGAGAACAGGAAGTGGTAAAACAACTCTCATACAAACACTTTTCAGGATCACTGAGCCAACTGCTGGTTAAATTATGATTGACGGCATCAACATCTCATCAATTGGACTTCATGATTTGAGGTCTAGACTTAGCATTATTCCTCAAGATCCAACCATGTTTGAAGGCACAGTGAGAAGTAATCTAGACCCTTTGCAAGATTGCACAGACGAACAAATTTGAGAGGTAAGACCCTTCTATTAACATAAATATTTTGGATTAGTCTGCCGACAAGTGCCTGCTAACAAGTAAAGAAGAAGATGAAAGAAGACTAGTTGATAAGACAAAAAGTGGTGGAAAATAAAGTCTAAAAGCTAAAAAGAAGCCTAAACCTATATTGTCTCCTTACTTTTCCATTTTGTCAAAAGTAATTTTGTCTTCTTGTAATAATTAGGGTTACTTTTTATCAACAATTTATCAACAATTAACTATAGTCATGTAACTAGGGTTAAAATTATGTAACCAGGGTTGATAAAAGTTTGTAATATTTGCCAATAAAATATGCATACACTAAATGTTAGTTTGTTTTCCCAAAATTAAACTTGTATCTGTTTCTTAATAAGGCTTTACCTTCATTGATTGACATGCTTTTAGGCTCTGGATAAGGTCAGCTTGGAGATGAAGTTCGAAAGAAAGAAGGAAAGCTAGACTCTACAGGTTTGCCATATTTTTCTTGATCATGAAGAGACATTATATTATGTTTTATCCTGGAAATGAAAACTGATTGCTTTTGTGAAGATGGGTGCAGTTAGCGAAAATGGTGAGAATTGGAGCATGGGTCAGAGGCAATTGGTGTGCCTTGGTAGGGTCCTACTTAAGAGAAGTAAGGTGTTGGTGCTTGATGAAGCTACTGCATCAGTTGATACTGCCACAGATAATTTGATTCAGCAAACTCTTCGGCAATACTTCTCTGAGTGTACAGTCATTACCATTGCACATAGAATAACTTCTGTTCTTGACAGCGATGTGGTTCTGCTTCTCAATCAAGGTCAGCTAAGTTGCTTATTCTTCTTCTTTGAACCTCTCTAGTTTCTATTCTTGGATTTGCTATATGTCCTTTTCATACGATCTCCATGAAGCAGGACTTATTGAAGAGTATAACTCACCAGCAAAATTACTAGAGGACAAGTCATCTTCCTTTGCTCAGCTTGTTGCAGAATATACCATAAGATCCAAGTCCAGTAGTTTCTAGCTAGATGATGACGAGAATTTGGGGAAATGAGCCAAATTATAATACAATAATAAATTGGTCAGAACATAAGTCCAGTAGTTTCTATATTTGTATTGTTGTTTATAATTAGGTTGCTTTTAGAACTATGTAAGCATGGAAAGTTAACGCTTATACTTACTAATGAAAGAAACAAAGGAAATTGTTATTGGGAGTACTTAATAATCATAAGTTGTTGAAGTCTTATGTCGTCCCCCCGTTTTAGTTATTATGGGGAATAAAAATTTGTCTATGCATTCGTAATAATTATCACTTAATTTATCATTATTTGCGATTCAACTTCATGAATGTGATAATTTTGAATAAGTTTTCTTTGAAGAGCAATGATCAGCACCAGCTGGTAGTAAAAAGAAATGGTCGGAAGAATTGCCACCTAATTTAGGATTAGGCACAACTCACTTCTTTTAATGCTGAGTTTGTTTTTTTTTAATTTAGAATAAAAATGATATGTCAAATACAACAAATAAGAAATTTAACATGTGAAGTTGTGATTTGCTGTTTTATTATTGTGAATATAAACAGAAAAGTAAATATTTAAATAAAATTTGTGAATCATTTACTTTCAAGGACAATTTAATAATTTATATAAATTCATTAATTACAAAAAAGTCTCTATAAATTTATAAAAAATTATGACATTTTAAAAGATGAATGATCATTTATATATTTTAAAGATATTTTATTATTATTTTTTCATTTTTAAAATGCCTTGTCCCACTAAAAGAAGGGGGGGGGGGGGAGGACTTGTGATTGTCACCGCCAGGAAGACTGTTGCCACCGGTAGCCGAAAAGAAAAGTATGACACCATGACCCCTTAATTCACTAAAACGAGTTATTGTTCAATTTTTTAAAACTTAACTATAGGGAATTAATAATGACACTTTCGATGTCAACAACTTTTATAGAAAGGCTTGTAAACTAAATTTACAATATATGCATATATTATTTAGCATAATATTGAATATTTAAAAAATTGATTTCAATTGAATAGAATTGAATTGAAGGGAGAATGATAGAGAGCTCCCAAAATAATGAATTAATTTAGCTTAGGTTTCGAGTGTCAAACTTTAAAAATTTATAAATTTGACTCTCAATTTTACAATTTCGTTATGATAAATTTGTAACTTATTTTTTAAATTTTAACATGATTGATGAATAAATAAATTTGTTTTCCTTGTTAAAATTTAAAATACGAGTTGCAAATTCATCATAAAAAAGTTGTAAAATTAAAAACCAAACTTATAAATTTATGAAGTTTGGCATTTAGAATCCCAATTGAATTAATTGATCATTTTGAGATCTCAATATCATTCTCTCTTAAATTAAATTATTGGGTTGGCTAGAATATTGGCTTCATGTTTGTTCTTCTTTTTAGGTACAGGGCAGGGGTTTAGGGGAAAAACAAACTAAACTAATTATTTTTTAAAAAAATTAGACTAGTTGTGATAATAACAAAGTTTAACAAGTATAAATTCTAAATCGGTTAATGTCACAGTCGATTTAGAAAGCTACAGATTTTAAACCAATTGTGACAATTTAGAATGCACTAATTTTTAAATAGGCTGATTTGAACAATTGGTTTAGAAAGTTTTTTTTTTTTTAAGAAAAAGACTTTTGGGATAGTTTTTAAAATGGTTTGGAAATTCATTTTATAAATTGGTCATAAAATTACCTATCTAAGCCAACTTCACTATCGAATTGGCAAATCAATTATATAAGCTTTAATTTCTTTGTTTTTTTTTTGGTGCTAGTGAAAGGGGTTGATAATAACAAAATAAAATTATGAGGACTAAAAATAAAATGAAATCAAAGTATAGAGACTTCCTAATATATATTTCACTTTTATGTGAATTTTGTCAATTTTTTTACCCAAAGCTTATCTTCTCGATAAATAGGTAAAGATAATCAGGTTCTAGCCATCCAACAAATTATAGGACAATCCCTCGATAAACTATGGGATAAAGCTATACCTTCGTGCACCGAAAAGCATCCGTATATACGATATAGATTTTTATCTACTCCTTTTCTTAGACGAACTCTTGCCAATTGATTATGCAATATATAATACTCACTCATCTTACAATTTCATTATTTAAATATCAACACGTTGGGCTTACAATAATATGCTACCCAAGTGAGCATCAATATTATTTTCACCATCATTTTCCATTTCAATTTTCAATTTTATAATATGTTTCCATTTCTCATTTAGCTACACATAAAATACTTGCATATCAGTACAACCATGCTATCATCACATCAATGTCACACACTTCTCATTTCAATTACATGCCATCATTTGCAAAATGTTTTGAATCCAAGTCCACATTTCAAGTCAAAACAAGATATATACACTAATTTTAAAACGTTCTTTCATACTCACAATTCAATCATGCATACAAGTAACGCATTTTCATATTAGAAACTCAATTAATAAATAATTACTTAAAATAGGGTTTTTTCAGTTATCTCAAACTTTTGAGAGGTTAAGGATTTACCCCTGAATGTATGCTTCCAAGCTTGTTTTCCAAGCCAAATGCGGTGCTCCGATGATTAATTTATAATGTATCAAGTCTAACTTATCAACATTGTCAAATACACACCTGTAAGACTTCACTTTCCACTTCTAAAATACCTAATACCCTTATTTCTCATATTTAGGCTTACCTATTAGATATATTAGCTCTCTTTAGCTCTCAATAGCTTCACTAAACCTTCAAATTTCCATTAATGTCTAAACCCATAATTTCTAGGTTTAAATACTCAAAACAACTCTCATTTACTCCATTTGAGTCATTGAGTTCAGACCCATAACCTATATGAACTAAAAATTATTATTCCAACTCAAACCTTAACCAAAAACTTCAGGAAAATGGGTTGGAAAGGGAGAAAAGGAGGTTAGGAAACTTACTTTTACAGTTTGGTAGCTTCAAAATACCTCTGATCCTTTTAGAAATGAAGCTCTAACAGAGCTCTCTTTGTCTTCTTTGTTTCTCTCTCAATCCCTCTTTTCTTTCTTCTATTTTTTGAATCAAATTCATGACTAAATGCTACAAAAAATAGGCCATGCGGCATGTGGCACAGGGAGGTTCTTCCTCTCTGTTTATTTCATTGAGCCACAACAGACCATGCACACACCGCAGCGCGTGATGTAGAAACACACACCTTCATTTTTCTCTCCCTTTTTAGCTTACATGACCCTTACTTGGCCTTAGACTCACATCCTAAGGTCATTACCAAGCTCAAAAGGTCCTTTAATCCTCTTAATTCATTTCCTACCTCAATTTCACCAAATTAACCTTGATTAATTCATTAATAACCGAAATATTAAAATTTGGGATGTTACACTATGAATGGGAGAAGCTTGATTCAATTTTAATTTAGCCAAGAATTATTTTTATAGAAATGGAGTGATTGAATCAAGTTTTTTCTTCTACTTTATTGGCATTATTCTCGTGAATGTCTTTAAATAAGAATTCTTTGAGCCTCTTATTCTCAAGTTGAGACTGAGAATGAAGGCTCAAAGATTTGAGATATTGATGCGTTGTGGATCTCATAAGTCTAAAAATAAATTACATTTGGTCAAAATTGATGGGAAGGTTCTAGATAGTCTATTTATTATAGTAGAGGTAACCCAATACTCTTCAAAAAAATAGTTTGTGGCTAAATTTTTCCCTTTATACATGATGGTGGTGGAGTGCCACATGACATTTCTAGTCAAGCTTTGTGGCCCCACTTAACATCTATCAAGTGAAATTAATGGAGGCTATTAGATGCTCCGTTGTTTAAAATTAAAAATTTATTTCGCACCATCTTATAGTATAGGCTACCTAATATTCTTAGAAAAATAGTTGGTGACTACATTTACACATTAGTATAGTCACACCTCAAAATTAGGGATCTTGGGTAGTCCAATCACACGAACGGAGTCTTGTTTGATATTATAATCCATGGTTTTAATGGGAAGATGTAAGGAAGGTATAAGGTGAAATTGATCATGTATATGTGTTTACCTGATGTGTCATATGGTTATTAAGTTAATGGCAAGTTGTGGTAGTGAGTATACCATTGTTAAATAGTTATTTGTGTTATGGAAATGTGCATGGGATTAATAAATTAGGTTATGGTCACATGTCTATGTATCTTGTGGCAATGTACCTTATGGTTTGAGATGTGAAGTATGAAAGTTAGTTTAATTATGATATGATAAATTGTGTGGCATGTAAAAGTATATTCACACCTCTATTTCATTTATGTGTGTTTAAATTAATTGATATACAACTATATAGGATAGGTGTACCTTGATTACTAAGTAGCTAGATTCACACCTCTATTTCAATATTTTATAGGCTCTAGCTCTAGTATGGAAAGGAAAAAGCTTCCAAAGGCTTAAGAATCTAGGGTTCCTATTGTAAAGCCTCTTATCTTTAATTATTTTGTGCAATGGATAAGTATATTCTCGATTAGGATGCATTTTGTTTACACTTGCACTATATAGTTATTTATGATATCTAGAATGTATTTTGGACCCTAGGATATTATTTATGATAAATTGGAAATGTTGATATAGTCAAAATACTAGTGCAAGTATAGTAAAGTTGATTTAATCATAATATTAAATATTTATTATGAAATGCAATGCTAAAACCTTCCCATTCTATTTTTAGTATTAAAGGGGTTGAGGAGTAAAAATTTGATATTGTGATATATATGCGCAGGTGGTGTATTGTATAGGTAATCTTAAGTTCTGTATATGTATATGTGCATAAGTATAGTCTGAGTGTTAGGAATGACAATTGGCACTTGTATGGAATTTTGGACAACCTTGAGTTGTGAAAATTGTGAAAATGGTTGAAAATATGTTGGGTGTCCAACTTCCTTACATGACTTAATTTGAAGGTAAAACCTATGTCATTAGTTAGTTGTAAAAGAAGCTTTTCATAAACATTTAGATCATCTCATTCGAACTTTGGACGAAGAAATGGGGCACGTCAAAAGTTGTCCAATTTGCTGTCAAATGGCTCCTGTCTGATAACATGTAACACTTCGCAGCATGTGGTGCCTACACCATGGCATGTGGCATAGAGAAAGATCTGCTGCGGTGCATGTGCACATGCTATGACGTACTGGTCTATTTTTTTAGCCTTTGATATTTTTCAACTGTTTTTAAACTATTTCACTCCTCTAAGGTATCTTATGCTTTCAAACCATTACTTTACTCCAATTTAAAGTTTAATAAGTATTTTAAATTATTTTAAACTATAAAA